AAACAAAAGCTAAACATGCTAAAGGGATTGTCTTCACTTGTAGAAGATAAAGAAAAAAATACATATTAAAACAATACTAGTATTCCAAATTTTTGTCTGCACACATCTTTTTAAATATAATCCAAAATAATATCCAACAAACAGGAATCTGGATAGCTGAATTGTGTGAGTGGCAAAGTGTCCCTTTCCTTATAAATTTACGAGGCCAAATTAATATTTTTAAACATTGCATCCTCCTCAATGGCTTCCAAAGCTGCCTAAATCTTTGTCATCAAAATCCTCTGTCACAGGTTTATTGTCATATCCCTTACTTGCCATTCTGGAGAAGAAAGAAGTTATGTGAGTTGTGCTCAACCATTCACTGACACTAAATAATTTGCTTCCATCATATCATTAACAACCCTCATTTTTCAGCAACTTCTGATGGAACTGCATTCCTCTTTTTTTTGCAATTTTCATATTTTTTTATCAAGTTGTCCTTCACTTTCTCCGGAAAACTTGAAATCTTCCCTTTGGGTTTTTTAAGACCCCATCCCATAGGTTCAGCTTTTAACTTTTTAACACTTTCTTTAAGGACAAAACATTTTTTCAGGTGATAACTCTTCACTACATACCTGAGCCCACTGAAGCTTTATTTTGGGCAATGTAGACTTTTTGTCTAGTTTCATTTGGTATTTACCACAAAACAAATGAGTTTTTAACCCTCTGTATGTTGAATCTTTTGGTCACCAGCCAACTTCTGGACAATAAAATAAACCACTTAGGGTTTCAGCAGTTTCTCTCTCAGCGTTATTTCCATGATCAGAAATTTCTAAACCATATGAATTTTTTGGATTTAGTTCTGATTTTTCCCCTTCTACATAACAGGGGTAACAAAAGGTTCCAACATCAAGAATCCAGACGTGTGTTCCTCATGTTTAGAACTGGTAAACTTCCTGATAACAGTTTGCATAAATAAACCTCTCCCAATATTATAAGCTTTACGCACAATCATACCATCCTCTTATAAATGATACTGCTGTATTTGTTTACGTTTTTATTTGTGGGTACTGAACAACTGTTTTGTAGTATTATAGCTAATTTGCCACTTGACATCCTTGACACCTGTAGTAAAAAAAGAGAATTTTAATAAATTTAGAGTGATCACCAAATGCATAATTGGAATTTCATTTGGTTTTTAACGAATTCAAAACTGACTTGCAATAATTTACTTAAGAAATATACAAAAAGTTTTAAAAACTTCAATGAGAGGTTAAGTGGGTCGGTAGTGATAAATCCTGTGAATACTGATAGGCCTTTTCAGAAAATTTAAAGTACCGACCCCTTTTTTTCCCCTTTTAAATTTTTAAACTTGTTCTTTTTTCTAACGTTTATACATTTGAGACGGACAATTGAATATTTTCAAATACAAATCATTGCACTAACTGTTCGTCACAGATTTTGATAAATTACGCAAGGTGCAAATCAGCTTGAAAGGCGGTTACGTTGAATTATGGGAAAGGAATTATTTGGGGGAAATATTTTGTAAAGGTTACTTGTTATCAGTAACAGTGAATGGGTTGTTGTCTGGGAATATTTGTTTTCCTGAAAATTAATAATCAAAGCTGAAAAAGGCACAAAAAAAAATTAATTTGAAGATTGATGATAAAAAGTTTAAATTTTACTGTTGGGAAAAATGGGAAAGGAATGGATTAATCGAATGGATGGAGACCATGTCCGAGCCAGTTAACTTGAAATCAAGTATAAAGTTTGATCAAAAACATTAAATTGCATTGCAGTAAGTCATATTTATTATATGACCAGAAACACTGGCGAAGCTTACATTTTTATGACCACGCCAAGGGTTTGGGGGGTTTTACCTTGACCCTTGATTAAAAATTTTTTAAGGTCAATGCACATCCATTGACCAGTAGCAATCTGTATGCAGGGTTAACCTAACTCTAGCCCGCTGGCCCGACAACTGAATTGAGGTCGGGCTACCAAACATGTTTTAAACTTCCCCGCAGGGGTCGTAAAATTTTTCCAATTGCTCACTAAGAGCGAAAAAAAAATTTTAATTTACACACAATATACCTGATAATTGTTAATTTTTTTCAAACATGTTTTATCATCATAATTATTATTTTTGTAAGTCAAAATGTAAATTTAAAAGGTATTCGAAATGCCCTAAATGATTATAAATATGGAAATTTTCAATAGAAAAAAAGTCTTGAGAACTTATCATGGTTAATTTTTTCCCCAAAAAACAGCCAGTATGCTGGATTTTCAGCTTTATTTTCAAAAATCAAAACAGATCTACATGTAGACTGAAATAGAAAAATTTCTTGATAAATTTACAATTTAAAAAAAAAAAAAAATATTGTAATACAGTAACTATGACAACAGGGAATTCTTATAGTTACACCTATATGTGGCCTTGTTATCCCAAAACCCCTTTATATTAGCTGATGAGCTTTGGCAAATTCAGCAATCAACACATACACATGTTCTAGTAACTGGGACTCAATAGCTATGGCAAACTGATCTACATGTAAACTGAAATAGAAAGATTCCTTGATAAATTTACAATGAAAAACCAGAAGTCTCTGTCGAGACTGAAGCTCTACTGGTTTGTTCTTTCAATCAAAAAATGATACACAGAATTATGTATATAAGGGTAGTCTACTTGTGTGCCAAGTTATATTGAAATCAGATCAAAACTGTAGTATATGGCATTTTAAATGAATTTCACACACAAATGTCTTTTTTTAGTCAACACGGCAACATTGTTCATTGAAATCAAAAGGCGATACAGAGAATTGTGTATCTTAATGTAGTCTACTTGTGTGCCAAGTTATATTGAAATCAGATCAAAACTGTAGTATATGTAGCATTTTAAAAGAATTTCACACACAAATTTCTTTTTTTAGTCAGAACGGCAACACTGTTCATTGAAATCAAAAAGCGATACAGAGAATTGTGTATCTTAATGTAGTCTACTTGTGTGCCAAGTTAGATTGAAATCAGACCAAAAGTGTTGGAGACCTAGCATTTTGAAAGAATTTCACAGAAATGTCTATTCTTAGTAACAACAGCAACACTGTTCATTGAAATCAAAAACCGATATACAGAATTACATATCTTAATGTAGGCTACTTGTGTGCTAAGTAGGAGGAGTAGCATTTTGAAAAATTGTATAAAGACAGATGGACGGACGCCGGACGCAGTACTATCGCATAAGCTCATCTAGTCTCTGACTAGTGAAGCTGAAAATCAGAAATACATGTATTACTGCATTTCAACAGGGAGATTCTTATAATTATACCTGCTATGTGGGGGGTGTGGGTGGGGGGGCCTTAATCTAGCCGAGTTAACGACATCAATAAAGCTTGCGTCCGAGGTAGCTTACTTGAAAACGACGAAGAAGAATTAGACCTCGAATTTGATTGGCTAAAAATCTGTTTCTAAAATTATACAGAAAATCATCATAGTATTTTTATGAAAAATAAGACACTATGACATTTTATTTATTCAATACAATAATTAAAATCTGGAAATGAACTTTTAAACCAACACTATTCTCTAATTTTTCTCTTTCCCCGAGATTATAACATACCATTCTATGGTTGGGTTTCGCTTTCCACTCGGCGAAAAGTTTTGAAACTGATGAATAAAGACAAGTATGTCAGATATGGCTGTGTAGATAAATTATCGTAGAAGACATGCGTATAAACAGTTTACTCGTGCATTTCCCCTGAAAGTGTAAATGACTGCAATTCTAAGAGAGGGGGGTTCTCGGTGTAAATCGGAGTTAGATTAGTAAGATACCTTGTGTTATTATTATACTATGGGTTAAAATTTATTCCCGAAACAAGTGCCTTTGATAACAAAGTATTATTATATACTTCTCCCATTTTATCATATCTTGCTATATGATTTATATACAAATATAGATATGGATTACCCCATATCCAAAGATATTCGACTTTTAGATTTAATATGTTTAACAGTGTTTAATGACGTTAATAAAAATAAAACTACACTGTCTAGTCATAAAACTTGTGTAAATTTCGTGAGTTCGTAGCATTACGGTCACCCAATCTCCTGACCATGGCAACAAACAGTACACATACCTATGTCCGCAAGACCAGTTAGCCTTGGTCTATACACACGTGCGATGGAGTTGTCAAACGGACTCCCGCGAACTGAGAAGTTACGATGGCAGACAGCACTTTTTTCATAATTAGATCACATGAATACAAATTCTGATTAATAAAAATTAAACGATTGTCAGTTTAGAAATCCCCGGCCAGTTCGGGTTTTGATACACATTTTATAGGTACTCTCCCTATGCATGCTACAGGGGCGTCGGCAAAGGGGCGGCAGGGGCGGCGGTCGCCGCCCAATAATTTTGAAAAAAAAAAAAAATGTGATTGTTTTTCTTTTTAAAATGATTTTTTTAAACGGCGAAATCTGCTCATTGGAGCGGCGAGTATAACGGCATTCTGCATGTTCTGTGGTCAATGGAGCGGCAAAGTGTGTACAAGCTATTGTTTACACAGACGTCAAAACGGGATATACATGCATGTCTATATATACCTGTACCTGGCGTGTGTACACAATTAACAGGGTAGTCATTATGATTGCTGTAAGTGCGGGTTTGCTACAAATTGTTCACTGTCCAATTAATTGGTCGATCGATGTTTGGAAGCTTTGATGATTCAACATGATTGCAAGTCATTAAACAATTATCGAAAATATTACAACATTACAACGTATGAGCATATTAATTAAAGGGGGAAAACTGAAAATTAGTTAAAATCACTGTCTAAAACAACTTGAGATGATTTTTTTAATATTATTACACTTATTCTACATTTCAATTTCAAAAATGGCCGGATTAAAAGGTATTAATCAACCTGTTGATTTTAAATTTCCTAGTAAGCGTTCTTTCGGCAAGAAGAATCCAGAACTGCGTTCATTCAACCCCACTTGGTTTAAACAATACGCATGGTTACATTATGACGAAGTAAGTACATTAAAAGATATATATTTTTTATCTTTTCAATGATATTTTGAAAGGATACAAATTTTAATATATTGATTGTGTTGAAATCATTGGTTAATGTACAATGATTACACTTTAAAAGAGATTTTTTTTTTTAAATAATATATTGAAATTAAATTTGTTCTTATTTTCAGGCAAAAGATCTGGCTTTCTGTTTCACCTGCATGGTTGCGGCAAAAGAGGGCAAGATTTCCAACTCCAAGGCCGACGGCAGTTTTATTCTGTAATTGGAAGGATGCCACTTCTAAATTCCGGAAACATCAAGATTCCGACTGCCATAAAGAAGCCGTGGAGAGAAAAGTGAAACTACCGCGAGAAACAAAAGACATTGGTGAAGTTCTCTCAGCCGCCCACTCAGAGGAGAAAACACACAACAGACAGCAGCTGCTTACCATTCTTCGCAACATCAGGTTTCTTGCTAGACAGGGATTACCACTCCGTGGCCACGACAATGATCAAAGCAACTTTCTATATCTTCTGAAGCTCCATGGTGAATCGGATCCATCAATCCTCAAGTGGCTGGAAAGGAAACAAGACAAATTTACATCAGCAGATATCCAGAACGAGATGCTACAAGTGATGGCCTTAAAGATACTGCGTGACGTCGCTTCTAACATCAGGGAGAACGGCTATTTCTCCATCATGGTAGATGAGACAACAGACCAGTCAAATCGTGAACAAGTTGTGATTGTGATTCGTCATGTTGACAGTAACCTGGATGTGCACGAAGAGTTTATCGGACTGTGTATGGTGCCATCTATCGACGCTGCAACACTAACTAATGTGATTCTGGATGCATTGGTGAGGATGAACATTTCCTTGAGTAAGTGCCGTGGACAATGCTACGATGGAGCCAGCAATATGTCCGGAGCCAAAAAGGGTGTGGCTGCTAACATCACCAGCAAAGAAACTAGGGCTATCTACACGCACTGTTATGGACATGCGCTCAACTTGGCAGTTGGTGATACAGTGAAAAAATCAAAGGTGATGCGCGATTCCTTGGATACTGTGTTTGAAATGTCCAAACTTGTAAAGTATTCGCCCAGGAGGGATACCATACTGGAACAGCTAAAGCGTGAGATGGCACCTGATAGCCGGGATTCCGTGTGCTATGCCCTACTCGATGGACTGTTAGAGCTGCCAGTTTGAACAGCGTTCTGGAAAACTACTCTGTCCTTCAGTCCTTATGGGAGACCTGCTATGAGTGCACAAAGGATCCAGAAGCCCGTTCCAGGATCATCAGCTATGTGTAGTTTGTCTACACACGTGTAGGAATCTGCTCAGGGATTGAAAATTCCGTCATTTAATACAGTATACTACACACACAGAATGGTTATTTTTTTTCTCTAAGAGGAAACTATATGATAATTAACGAACAATTAACATGATTTTACCACAGTTGTTGATATAGTATAATCAATACATCAGTGAAAATATCAACCGAAGAATGACCTAGATATTCTCTGTTATTAAAACATGTTAAAAAAAACTGAGGAGGGAGGAGGGAGCGAGCGTAAGAATATTAACATTTTTTATTTGCATTTAGGGGGGAAAGTGATCTTTGGAGGAAAAATTAACATTAATTTTGGTTTCTTTTACGTATGACATACACAACATTATTCTTGTCATGAACAATTATGTTGTATCTGCTTATTAATGATGGAACTATTTTCGTCGGAACAATTTGTGTGAGTCGCCGCTGACTACAGTAATATATCTTGAACTAATAGTATGCACTGATCGAATATATTAATAACTAGAGCCGAGCTCGTTGCAAAGCAACGAGTAGGTCTTCCGTCGGAGCTGCGGACAGAGAGAGATGACCTTGAGTCAAGGTCATGCTACGTTCTAATGTTAAAGCAATCTTTTAAGGACAGATATCATCTTATTATGTTTTACTAATAAAAAAGGGTAGTAAAGGAATGTTTGCGCCCTTGACCTTGTCAAAATGACCTTGGGTCACACCATGACACATGCTGGTGATGAGCATATCCCATTTGTGTGCTACCGTATTGACAAATTCACACATATTTTTTCAAACAATGCATCCAGCCAAAACATCTTATCCTAAATGACCTTGATTCC